CTGGAATTGTCATCATTATAATTATCATGATACTTGATATAAACATGATGATAAAATAGTAATGAAAACTGTAATGTTTACGGCAATGATTGTTATAATGATAATAAAAGTAACTATTATTTTTATTAATATAATAAAAGTACAATAATAATAATGATAACAATGAAAATAACAATAACAACAGCAATGATAATAATAATAATCATAATAATAGCAGTTTAGTAACATTGATGATAATAATAATGATCATTTTTATAACAAGAATGATAATAACAACAATAATATTAATGCTAATAAGAATAATGATGATGATAATAATAATATTGATAATAGTAATAGTTATAATAACAATGATAATGATATTAATGATAATGATGATAGTAATAATAATAATAATAATTAATGATAATGATGATGGTAATAGAAATAATAATGATTATGATTACGCTATCATCGTAATCACTTTTGTTATAATTGTCCTTATTACTATTATCTTCATCCTCCTCCTCCTCATCTTCATTATCATCATCATCCTTTTCATTATCATTATAACTAATATCATTATTATTCTTAATATTATTATCATTATCATTATGGTTATTATTATCATTATAATTATCATTATTATTTCTATCTGTATTATCATTACCCTTATCAAAGCTTTTATTTTTAATGTAATTATTATTATTATTATCATTGATATTATTATTATAATTAGTATCATATTTATATCATTATCATCATCTTTATCATTATTTTTGTTGTTGTTATTTTTAACATTACTATTACTATTATTATTATTATTGTCATTATTATTATTACTGTTATTGTTGCTGTTTTGCTGTTGTTGTTACTATTATCCGTATCATTATTATCATGATTATTCTTTTTATTATTATTATTATGATCATGATTATCATTAGTATTTTGTCACTATTATCATTATCCTTATTATTATCATTATTGCCATTATTCTTATATTTATCATTATGATTATTATTAACAGTGAATAATGCCGATGAGATAATGATGATAGTAACTTCTTTTCTGCGTTTTCCCATTTCCTTTCGTTTTGTTCTTATCATCATCATCATTATTATTATCATAGTCATTATTATTATCATTATCGTAATTATCATTGCTGCTACATCACATTATCATACGCAGTTGAAGTTTTGTATTATGCTTTAATAACACATTTTCTCAATAACAAAAATATAAAGAAACCAGCTTACTGATATTCCACGCAGAATCATGACCAATAGTGACCGATCTTTTTGCTGCTCGACTGAAAGTTAGCGAGGTACTACGGGCGGAACGATCACTTCTTGTCAGCTATATACAACCGATGGCGGAAGAGTGTGGCCAATAAGAGAGGTTTTGTTATATATTATGTTTTTTTTTTTTTTTCAAGTAATTTTCAGTTAGATAACGAAAGTATAGTAATGTCTTACAGTTTAGATTTTTTTTTTCTCTATTTTTTTTTTAACTTTTGCATTTTTCCCCGATTGCATAAGCTAGATTAAAAAGTCTAAAAACCACCCGTGTCTAGACTTTTATTTATTTATTTTTTTGCTCAAACCTTATTACATTTTTCTCTATTTTTTTCTTCTATACGGCTGGCTACCTGTGTAGGCTAAATCAAAAAGTAAAATTACCATTTATTTTTTAAATAGATTGTACATATCATGCACTTCTAAATCTTTTTGTACCAAACGTTTTTACTTCGATTGTACTAAGGGTATTTGTTATAGGAGTATGTTTCAGGCACATATACTTTATATGCAAACACGAAAAATAACATTACCTGGCTATGCAGGGCTGACATAACACAGTACATGAGTGACCTATAAGTAATTGTAAATATAGGCGTATATTTACACACACACATATGTTTGTTTGTGTATGTGCGTATATATATATATATATATATATATATATATATATATATATATATATATATATATATATATGTATATATATATATATATATATATATATATATATATATATAAATATATATATATATATGTATATACATGTATGTATATATATACATGTATATATATATATATATACATATATACAAATATACAAATATAAATACATATATATATATATATATATATATATATATATATATATATATATATATATATATACATATATATAAACATATATATACATATATGCATATATATATGTAAATATATATATATATATATATATATATATATATATATATATATATATATATATATATTTATATATATATATATATATATATATATATATATATATATATATATATATATATATGTATATATATATATATCATATGAATGTATATCTATATATACATATATGTATATATATATATATATATATATATATATATATATATATATATATATATGTATATATATATATATGTATTATATGCTTATATATATATATATATATATATATATATATATATATATATATATATATATATATA